GCCGCCCCTGCACCCCCCGCGCGCCGCCCTCCCAGCTCCCCGCGAGCGGCTGTGCCGGGGGCGCGGTGCTCAGCGATCCCGCTGGGTGGGGCAGCTGCGAGGAGCGCCGCGCCGGAGGGCTCCCTGGAGGAGGTGTGGGAGAGGTGGGTGCGCGCCCCCCAGTCTGGTGGGGGCTCTCCTCCTCCCCGCAGGAGAGCTGGGAGGTGGGGCCTGGACGCCTGGACCTTGCGGGTGGCGTGGTTCCGGCCAGACCGGGAGGTCAGACCTGTGGACCACCCTGGGGGCCACGGCCATATCCTTGTCTCCGTTTCCCTCTTCACTTGCGCTCTGCGCTGGGGCCGGGTGGAGGGCCGCAGCTGAAACCCGGGCTTCAGGAGCGCGGGCCGTCCAGACTCCAGAGCTAGAAGAGCAGCCTCTAACTCAGCTCCTCGCGGGCCTGTGCGCGGAGCTTGGCTGAACCTCTGTGGTCAGCACTGTGGCCTTGGCCCAAACCATAAGGGGCAGTGGCTGATCACAGACGTGTGGCCCACCATCTGGCGCCCACCAGTTGCTGGGTGCTGGGCAAGCCCCAAGGCCCCAAGAGCTGATCCTGTTTGCCCCCTTGGGCACGCTAGAGAAAAGGGCAGCAGTGGCTCCCCCTGCAGCTGCTCCTCTGCACCACGCCCACCTCCCCGGCCCTGCAGGCTGGAGCCTGATCGCCATCCTGTCCCTGCACTCCCCAGTGTCCTGCCAGCCACTCTGCCCGGCGAGGGGGCCTGCCTGAACCTCAGGCCTTATCCGTCCATCGCCCTGGCCAGTCATTCGACCTGTCGGGCCCAATCTGCCCATCTGGGCGCTTGGTACAGTGGCCGCGTTAGGCACAGCCTGGGCACGGGGATGCTCACGCAAAGCTACCCGCGCGGCCCGTGGTCACCAGATATGCCAGGGGGGCAGGGAAAGGAGGCCCGGAGACCCTCCCCGCACGGGCGACCCGGCGCCGGGCCCGGCGGGGTGCCGGGCCCGCGCGCGCCTCTGCGGCTCCAGAGGGCGAG